TACAAATCTTTTCTGCAAGCCATGGGTTGATTCTGAATAGCCCATACTCTTGACATAATATGTTCAATCTTGATCTTTTTACTTAACTGGTTTTTTTATGAGTGACTATTAATGTATCTCATATTTCTTTTTTCGTTGTGCATTGAGAGACACGGATGAACTCATCCATGCTTTGAGCCGTTTGGAGTAAGTTGATTATATTCTTGTTATATGAATGATAAAATGCATAAAGTAAGTGCTAAAAAATTAAAATACACCAAGATGTATATTATTCCAAACAAGGGTATGTTTAGTCCCCTCATACCCCGTGAGAGATTAACTATGTTAGAACTTGTACAATTCTCACACCAAAGTCACTCACACACTTATCTAACATACAAGAAACCACATCACTTTCTTTAAAACTTTGAATAAAAAGCACACCACTTTTTATCTCATTCAAAAATCACTTAACACTTTGTGATCCACAAAAATAGAATGTTGCAAAGAAGAATATTTGAATATGTATTAATTCTTAAGAATTGATCATTCCTTCAATGTATACAATATACAAGAGTAATTTTAAATTCTTAGAATTCTATGAGTGAAACTTTAATGATAATTGTAAAAGTTAATGTAAAAAGTTTCACTGAAAGTATGACTCAAGTACCTTAGTTGAAAATTTGAGAGAGTTTTGAATTTGAAATTATTAAAGTAGTGAATTTTGAAGTTCTGAAACATTGGCTATCTATAGTGTGGAAAACACCTTTTGAATCATTATATAATCATCAAACATTGTCATGATTCAATGACCAAGTTTGGAAGACGTTGGAATATAATTTTTCATGAAAAAAATGCCATTGCTTCAGTGATAACTGGTTAACACATTATCGTAACCGGTTACAATTGAAGCTAAAACAGATTTTCAAAAATATTTGTGGTTGTAACCGATTATAGGGTTTGGTTAACCGGTTATGGATGAACAAATTTCTTTAAATATTGAATTTCTTGTGTGTGTGTGTGTAACTGATATATATATATATATATATATATATATATATATATATATATATATATATATATATATATATATATATATATATATATATATATATATATATATATATATATATATATATATATATATATATATATATATATATATATATATATATATATATATATATATATATATGCATGTGCGTGTGTGTAATCGATTACAGCTGATAGAAAATGTAAAAATCAGTTTGTAACCAATGTTAATCAATATGCTAAATTTCAAAAACACTTTAGAATGTTTTGAGAAGAAATATGCATTATTTTTTAGCAACTATTGTATTAATTTATGCATTATTGTAACATATACCTTATGTGTTGGATCAAATTCTCAAAGTCCATTTGTCTCTTGTTGATTACTCGATTTCCAAAACTTGTAGCAAGAAATACTTGAATGCTTATAATATATATTTCTTCTTCTTGATAATGTAATTGAACTTGAGTTATTGTCTTCATCAAAACACAAAACAATGTTGAAATCTGCAACATGTACAATGCAGAAATGTTGGACATTTTGGAGAGTATTTGTTTGGTGCAGGAGCATAGGTACAACCAAGTTGAAATACGATTTTTTGACGTACCTGCCCTGGTTTGAAATTGTTTATCCCACAATGCCCTATCTGAAAACTTATTTACAAGGATGCCCTGGTTTTGTGTGAGTTCGTCCTTTGAATGGACGAACTAGTGAAACCCAAGAGGAAGTTCGTCCTTCCCATGGGCGAACTAGTGAAGACGAATTTCCATGCATAAGTTCACCCATCCAATGGGCGAACATGTGAAGGAGTTGGTTTTTTTTTTGTTTTTTAATTTTTTTATTTTTTGTTAATTATAATTAAGATATATTTAAATAATATAATGTAAAAAATATGTAAATAAATTAATATAAATACTTTTAAATAATTTAATATTAAAACTATTTATATTATTTAGTATAAAAACTATTTAAATAGTTTAATATAAAAACTATTTTATTAATTTAATTTAAAAACTATTTTTTTAATTTAATATTAAAAGTATTTTATTAATTGAATTTAAAAATTTTTTTATTAATTGAATTTAAAAACTATTTTATTAATTGAATTTAAAAACAATTTTACTAATTGATTAAATAATTTACAACAATAAAATTAGAAGATTAAATTACAAAAATTTAATTGATTAAATAAATACACATCTCATCGGAGATGACCTCCAGTTCCACACCTAGGGGGCCTTCGCTGTCGGTATCCTCTGCCCAAACGCTCGTTTGCAGCTGATTGAGAGGAGTCTGAAGACAAATCTTCATTATGATGTGTTCTCGGGGGGATTGTCTGCCTTGAAGAGGGTCCTGATTCATCATCATTTAGAATATCTTCGATGTTAAAATCTGGCATTTGCGTCAGTTGCTCCTCTGTCAGTAAAAAATGTTGAAATGAATGTGATGGTTGTGGTGGTTGTGGGTATGTATCGGCTTGGGGTTGTTGCATGGTTGGGATGTATACGTCATCGGGCGTGAAGGCGGGTTGAGAGAAGGTAGTGCTGAAGGTAGGATTTGTAGGATATTGGACATAAGGGTTGCTCTGCTGAAAGTTGGGGGCTGTGCATGGGGTCAACTGTCTGGGTGGTCGGAGGTAGGGTTGGGGCTGATATTGTTGGGAGAACTGGGGGAAGTTATAGTTAGGTTGAGCTGAAGAGGATGGGTACCCCCCAAATTGAGAGGTTTGGGTTGGTGGGACATGCTGATGCATTGATGCGGGAGTTTGTTGTGTCGATGATGATGGTTGCGTCCGTGGGTCGGTTAGAAATTGATCTGGAGCAACATGAACATAAGGAATTGCGCGGAACCAAGTTAGATATTCTTGACTTGGTTTGCGTTCACCAAATATAGCGCCCCCCTGCAAAATCACATCTCTTCTATGTTTCCATTCTCGCACCTCGTCCTTGTGTAACTGTTGCCAATGAACTTTTTGCGCTTTTCGCATCGTAATTGCGTGATGTTCCTTCAAGCACCTAGGAAGTGGAGGGATCTGTTGGTCAAATCCAAACTGGAGTGTTACCCTATCTGATTGATGCATCTCAATGATGTAGAAACAGACAAGGTAAGTTGTTGCACTCCAGATTTGGCTATCTTCTAGACGCGGCACCGGGTACTGAATGTACGGCCTCCATATAAACTGTCACATAACAAATAAAATTAAGATAACTTTAAATGTGAAGAGCCGACCACTATTTTCAATTGGTTTAAAACTTACATCTTTTTCTTGCATATGATCCAACACGTTTCGATATCCTTGTAGATGGAAGCGAGGAGTTGCACGGTAATTCATTCCCCTTTGTGTCCACCTTGTGTAACCCAAAAAAAACATTAATATTGTTAGACATAGTTGAATAAGAAATATATATATATATTACGTACATAAATATGAGTGTTACGAAAATACCTTTGTGCATATGGAAACGATGGTTCCACAATATTGATAGGAGCGAACAATGGGATGCGTGTGAATGCCCAAGATGTTAGTAGGAGAGCACAACCACTCATGCTCCTAACATCTTTTTCTGCTGCCTTGCACATTTCTCTGTACAATTTTGCAAGGCATGCAGAACCCCAGCTATATGTTCCACACTTAATGAGATCCCCCACGAAAGGGACCCAAGATGAATGCAAAAGGTTTTGAGTTTTGTCAGGAAACAAAACCGTTGCGATCACGAGCAAAATAAAAAGTTTAGCTTCTAATAAAACATCTTCTTGTGTGGGTCTATCTATGTTTTTTAAATTTTCATATTCACTCTCAATCCAAGTTATTTTAACAAAACCTTTCATTTTATCTGTTTCTGTTGGTTCCTTCCCCAAGTAATCCATGTAAACAGAATTTGTTACCTCGGTGGGACCGTTGATAGCTTTGCCATCAACTCGCAGACCTAGTAACATACATGTATCTTCTAGGGTTATGGTGCATTCACCGGTTGGCAAGTGAAAAGTGTGCGTCTCCGGTCTCCACTTCTCCAACAGAGCCAGAACTAAGCTTGAGTCAATTTTCAAGCTGTTTATTTTTGAAATGTTTGCGAATCCTGCGATTTCAAGATAAGGCATTATTCTTGCATTCGCTTGAACCGGAGAATGTGAATGCACCCTAAACCTCGGAGCATTAATCTGTAACAATATTAAACCAACATTAATTAGTCACGATTTTTATGTCGAAAAAATAAATTCACAAAGAGCAATATACAACAATATATGACAATAGAACTTACACTATTATTGATATTTTGTTGAGTACCACGGTGGTCTTCGCCCATCCATAACAATGCCATTTTAGTCGGGTAAAATTGCAAGATAGTAGAGAAATATATGTGATAATTGCTAGATAGTAGAGAGAATGTAAAACTGTGTGTAAATTTTGTAGAATGTAAAAACGAATTTATAGTAGATTGTATGTAACTTTAATATTTACTTTAAGTATTTTGAAAATTAAAATGTGACAAGACCATTGCATGGCACTAGGGTTTTCTACCATGCATGCAACACTAGCTTGACACTAGCTTCTTACACAACACGCATGCATTCACTTCACGTGAAACCCTAGTTTTCTGCTGCAGACTTCACATGTTCGCCCATGCAAAGGACGAAGCAAGTATTTCCTTCACATGTTCGCCCATGGGAAGGACGAACTAAGCATTTCCTTCACATGTTCGCCCATGGGAAGGACGAACTAGTACATAGCACGTGAAGAAGTTCGCCCATGGATTGGACGAACCAACGGTCAACCTAGCATGTTCGTGTTTGTCTTGGACGAACTCATTCTACCTAGATTTTCCAATCTTCCACACTTATATTCGTTGAATGTATCTTTGCATGGTATTACAAACATCTCTTATATACCAATATTCCTACTCACATTCAAACTCATTAACACTCCATCTTGCAATACAAACAAATTTAAACTTCTCAGCATTCTCAAAAAACTTCAATCCTACAATCCGAAATGTCTCAGAGAAACATAATTACCACATGCCATTTTAACGGTGTTGTTTCAACAAACACTCCTATTGGATTCTCGTTTTTCAATACAGATACATATGCCTTCAAAATTCATGTCAATTCAGATTTTTTTCATTTTAAAGATAGAATGGAAACCAAATTGGCACGCTGTGTTGAGGAAATCATTTATCGTCATCCCACCCTAAATGAAAACGACTGTACGATATTCTACATTATGACGCCAATAAAAACCAACGAGGATGTGAAGGCAATGTTTCGGTGCCACATGATGTTTGGTCAATTACCTACAATTGAGGTGTATGTCCGACTAGTACAAAATCCCGAAACATTTCCAACGCAGGAAACACAGTCACACTGGTACGGGATGAGCCAAACATCCGACGACGAACCAACGCAAAATAATTTACCTTTCATACCCAATGAGGAGGTGGGCGAACCAAGTGATGACGATATTCTTGAGGAAATCACAATGCAAGATATTTTTGGTAACAGTGATGACGAAGACAATGAAGATGAAGACATAGTTGTCCCGTCTACGCAACCGATCAGCGCACAACCCGTAAGTTTGTATAACCCGCCGACACACATGCAAAATATTTGCGCCGAATATGACGACACAACCTCTGTCTTTGGAAATGCTATTCAAAGCCATATAGGAGACGGAATTGATATAGGTATGGAGTTTGAAAACAAGGAAGCCTGCATCCTCGCCCTGCAGCATTGGCACATAACACACTGTGTGGACTATTGGGTGTGTAAGTCTGACAATGAACGATATGTCATTAAGTGTAAGAAAGAAGAATGCAAGTTCAAGTGCAGAGCTTCATTTAGACAAAGGAACTCGAAATGGGTGATTGGTAAGTTGTCTGGGTCTCACACATGCACCACAACGTCTATGGCACAAGACCATAACAAGCTCAGTTCAGAAATGGTTAGCCATAGCATCAGAGAACTTGTAAACAGCGACGCCTCACTTAAGGTAAAAGTGATCATTGCCCATATTCTAGAAAAATACGGGTACATTATATCTTACCGGAAGGCGTGGATCGCTAAGTGCAAGGCGGTAGAGTCGCTTTACGGCAATTGGGAAACATCTTACAACGACCTACCGCAGTGGCTACTGGTAATGAAAACCTTTCTTCCCGGAACCGTTATGGATTTGCAAACCATACCGGCCATATCAAGTGATGGTTCCCAGATCTCCGGAAAAAGAACTTTCCTTCGTCTGTTTTGGGCATTTCGTCCGTGTATAAATGGTTTCGCATACTGTAAGCCCATTGTGCAGGTAGACGGAACTTGGTTGTATGGCAAGTACAGAGGAACTCTATTGACGGCGGTGGCACAAGATGGCAACGCAAATATTTTCCCAGTGGCATTTGCTTTGGTCGAAGGAGAAACAAAGGAAGCCTGGAGTTTTTTTCTGAGGAACCTAAGATTACACGTGACACCACAGCCAAATGTATGTCTCATATCTGATAGGCATGAATCGATAAAAAGTGCATACAACAATCCAGAAAACGGTTGGCAAAATCCTCCATCTTCGCATGTCTACTGCATAAGACACATCGCTCAGAACTTCATGCGCGAGATTAAGGACAAGGTTCTACGAAAATTAGTAGTTAACATGGGTAAGGAAAAAATTTCGATTATCTAAATTATATAAGCACTTTTTTTTCATTTTTTCTAACGCATTGACGGATACAGGTTACGCATTGACGGAGGCCTCATTTCATTATTATCGCGGAGAAATCAGAAGATCCAACGCTGAGGCTTTAAATTGGATAGACAATATTCCTAGGGAGAAGTGGGCTAGAGCATTTGACGGAGGACAACGTTGGGGACACATGACATCTAACTTAGCAGAAGCAATAAACTCTGTATTAAAGGCCACAAGAAACCTTCCCATCACTGCATTAGTCCAGTCTACATATTATCGATTGGGTTCACTGTTTGGTAAACGAGGACACAAATGGACAAAAATGCTATCTTAAGGCAAAGTTTTCACAGATGGTTGTAACAAGGGGATGGCCGAGGAGGTAGCCAAGGCTAACACACACAATGTCATGCAATTTGATCGGGAAAGATTCTGTTTCATGGTGCAAGAAAAGATTAATTACAACGATGGTCGTCCAAAGGGTACTTTCAGCGTTGACTTGAGGAATCGTAGGTGTGACTGTGGAAAATTTCAAACGTTCCACTTGCCTTGCTCCCACGTGATAGCGGCATGTTCTAGCATACGACAAGACTATGTAATTCACATTCCAGAGGTCTTCACAATACGTAACGTATTCAAGGTCTACAAGGAAAGCTTCCTGGGACTACCGCACGAGGAGAATTGGCCAAAATATGAAGGTTTCACTCTCTGCCACGACGATTCAATGAGAAGAAATAAAAAGGGGCGTCCAAAAAGTAGTAGAATCCGAACTGAGATGGACGACGTAGAAAAAGAGAAGAGACGGTGTGGGATTTGTAGAGAAATAGGTCATATGCGTAGAAAATGTCCCAATGTTGCCGGTCCGTCAAACCGACCGAATAGATAATTATACTGTACTACTTTTGTATTTGATCAATCAATTATTTTTAATTCAACACAACTTTCAAATTACAACAACAGCAGCGAACTACAAACATAAAGTGGATCCGTGAATCCACAAACACAAACATAAAACTCATGAAGCTAACATAAACTCTAACATACAACAGCGACCAACACAAGTGGATCTGTGACTCCTCTGTTGACTTCACCACTATGTGTTGAAAACATGCAATGGACATCTTCATCATTTTCTATGCGATCTAGGTAGTACATGTACGTCCCCTCCGGGCTAGCATCAGTAAGCGTTATATATGGACAACGATACTCAATTTTTCTCACCGTCACGCGACGACCGCCCAGCTGCCGAAACCCACTGTTAATTGCTGCGACCACGGTTCTGAAATTCCACAGCGGATCTAGGTAAACACTTAATTTTTTCTCAGGTCCATAGAAAACATGAGCTTGCACAGACATCTTTGTAAATCGGATGACTTGATACAAATGATAGTAAATTGGCATACGCTTATTTATACAAAAAAATTAGGTCTGAGTTCGGTCATTCCGTGACCGAACTATGTCAATTATTTAATCTTCTAATTTAATCTTGTCATTTTGTTGTTAAAAAAAATTTTAAATTCAATTAATAAAATACTTTTAATATTAAATTAAAAAAATAGTTTTTAAATTAAATTAATAAAATAGTTTTTATATTAAACTATTTAAATAGTTTTTATACTAAATAATATAAATAGATTTAATATTAAATTATTTAAAAGTTTTTATATTAATTTATTTACATATTTTTTACATTATATTATTTAAATATATCTTAATTATAATTAACAAAAAATAAAAAAATTAAAAAACAAAAAAAAAACCAACTCCTTCACATGTTCGCCCATTGGATGGGTGAACTTATGCATGGAAATTCGTCTTCACTAGTTCGCCCATGGGAAGGACGAACTTCCTCTTGGGTTTCACTGGTTCGTCCAATCAAAGGACGAACTCACACAAAACCAGGGCATCCTTGTAATTAAATTTTCAGATAGGGCATTGTGGGATAAACAATTTCAAACCAGGGCAGGTACGTCAAAAAATCTTAAAATACAAGTTGACAACATCGAAGTGGTGAAAGATATTCTAAAGACTAATTTGAAACGACAACAAGGTATAAGCATGTTGTGTAAAGACTTGTTGAAAAAGACGTCTTAAGGTTCGAGCTAGGCATCTTCGATATACCACTAAATGTGTGGTCCATTTAGCTAAATTTAATATAACTATAAATAATTATGAGTGAATTTTTGAGAATTTTCATATTATATATTTAAGAGACACGTTAGTGTTTTTTTTTTAACACATCCAATTTAATTATCCAGCTTTCTTTTTATATTTAAAATCAGATTTTGTTTATGAATAAGTAGACATGCGGGGAACAAGAAACAAATGGCATGCATGCATTTTAGCGCAATTAGCGGACTCGATGTTACGCGGCCTGCTGTTCTGAAATTGCCATTTGCCTGTTTCCAATACTATATGAAACTTGCGTTGAGTTTTTCTTTTTACGTTGGAAACTGATTTTTTTAATCATAAAATAAATCTCAATATATTTGGACGGTTGGTATGTATGTACACTAGAAAGAATAGTCAACTCTCTTAATTTTGAGGTCTCTTTTAACACATCTAAACTTTTTCTTATAGAAACATCAAATAGCATAAATATTTTACACCATTTTTTTTTAATATTTTGCAGAAAGTTAATAGAATTGATTGAATTATAAAATTTGATTAATTATTTATTCAATGTCATTAGGCGTGAAGGTAAAATAAACAATGAAATTTGTGTTAAATAATAAGTAAGGCAAAATTAGAGGTTAAAAATATGATAGGGAGAGGTCATAAAAATTGTATTTCTACTTGACAATAATAAGTAAAGTAAAGATTTACTTATCCTAATAATTGTGTTTTATATGATAATAGTATTGAAGATTTTTTGGGTGTTTTTTTAAATTCTTTTGAGGTAGATAATAGTCGAGCTATTGTTCTTACAATTTTTTTCTACATTATTCAAAATTTATCTATTGAGAATTATTTTTTTTCTGCCACTCTTATTTAGAGTATTTGAATGCAAAAAATAATAAGATATGGAATAATATTACCAAGCAATAGCTCACGTTAAGCATTGGGATGGCACATGGCATGTCTTGATCAGACCCTTTTGCAAGAAGACATGGAATAGTTTGGCAAGTGCATAGAGGTGCCCTCAGATCGACTACTTTGCTTAGCTGGTTGATTAGTTGAAGAGAAAGAACCATCCTGACATTGAGAGACGACCAATTCTTTGACCAAAGTAGTTAGACTCTTCTTAGCAATTTTTCAAGTTCGCGACCTCATCTCGAAACTCTTGATTTCCTTGTTCGTGGTTGTCTACCAAAGTCTTCTTCGTGGAAGAAAACGTCCCCATGTGGGCTCTTAAGGTGGCAATCTCCTCTCGAAGTGCTTGGTTTTCTTATTCCAAGTGATCCTTCTTCTCTTGTAGTTGACTCGAGTACTGAGGTGACAGACTAACAGAGACAACGAGGTGAGCTAGAAAAACGCACATGAAATGAAAATGAGATGAGATGTGCATGAATGCGATGCAAATGCAAGCCTAATGGTCTCAAGGAACTCAAAAGCAAGTTGCCAACATTTTGGAAAAAATGAAAAGTTTTATTTCATAATCCATGATCTCTATTGATTTTTTTGCACAAAAAAGAACAATTGAGTTCCTTGAAACCAAAAAAGTTATTCACGAATGCATGAATGTATGGATGAATGTATGAATGTATGTACAAACACAGGTACTCACATATTCACATATATATGCAAACAAATAAGGGCCTAAGTTTGAAGATCATGAGCATGGAGTTATGGTCTACCCATCCCAAAAGGTGTGTATTATGGGTCCATTTATACCCGTACAATAGGTTCTAACAAAAGTTCCAAAAACATCAGTCCATCTTTTGAATATCATCAATTTTCCAAATAATCGGTAGTTAATAATACTCTAAAGAGAACCTCTTTTGAGTGTAGTATCGTGTATCAACTATTTTGGGACTACTCCCTCGTAGTCATCACACTACATTATAAGAATGCCAAGTTGGGTTAAGGGTAACTAAATGTCCTTAGTGTCACGGGCTCCTAGGTCGAAAGTAGTAATGTTTTCACGAATACTCGTTCAACAAATACTACTCCCAAGAGGGCCTCAACTGAGTGGTGATTTCTCAAGTTAGCTTGGTAGGAAATCAACTCCCTATAAACCTCCTTGAATATATCACTTTCTTATCAAAAGTGCACTCAAGTCCGGGTTAGGACTTATCTCGCAATACAATGGTAACAAACCAAGCAGATACAGATATACAGATATACAACAAATAACTCATATCAAACAAGTTAGGTGTAACCCTCAAAAGTCATAAGTTTCCCAGTGAAGTCGCAATTTCTGTCGCGGTGAGAATCAGATATCAAGATATTGATTAACTTGAATCAAAAATCTTAATTCACCACCAATATTTAATTTATCCAACGGAAGAGAAAAGAACGAATAACCCATAAATATGCAATGCAATAAGGTTCGGGGGTTGGTTATACTAAAGAAATGTGCTACCACCCTAAGTATCTGTAGTACTCTACAGGAACCTCTTGTTTTATTTTGTTATTTATTATTTTATCTGCTAAAGGGTGGGAAAAAAAGGGAGACCTAAGGTGTTATTCCTAAGTATGTTCGTCAAGACATCGCATCTCGTGTCTACGTATCTTGACGGGAATAGAATTAGAGCATTCGTAGTTCTCTTTAATAAAGGGTGAGGAACTCTTGACTATAGTCAAGGTTCCAGGGGGAGAGGTAAGTGTCTATAGTAGAACACCTACATAGAGTTAAAAAACTCTAAACCTAATGTTAGGTTGAAAAAGAGGTAAGCGTTTTTATTAAGGTTTCTAAAACTGATTAGAAAGATGATTAAAGTATTTTTGTATTTTTGAGAAAAGAAAGAGATTTTAGTTTTAAGAAAAGAATACTCGATAAAAGATCGAGGTTTGAATTTGCATGATGGCGATTGCAAAAGGCAACTGACTTATGAGAGAAGTAACCACTTGACATTGGATCAAGGGTTTGAGAAAAAGTTAGGTTGATTCCTAGTCCATAAGGGTGCTTCTAGTAAACGAAAACATAACCAAAGAAAAGGTGTAAGTGTGTGCATGAGGTTGATGGCGATGCTAAAAAGCAGTCGACTTACAAGTTAGGGTATGACTTGATATACGAATCGAGAATGCTTGGGTTGATTGATCAATTGGTGTCGACCGATGTTTTTGAAAATGGAACTTGGTGTTGACCAAATTCTTTGATTTTTTGAAAGATTGATTTTATATTTTTGTTTGTTTTTATTCATTATCTATCTAAAGAAATAAAGGCGGCAAAAA